ATGTATGTATGTATGTATGTATGTATGTATGTATGTATGTATGTATGTATGTATGTATGTATGTATGTATGTATGTATGTATGTATGTATGTATGTATGTATGTATGTATGTATGTATGTATGTATGTATGTATGTATGTATGTATGTATGTATGTATGTATGTATGTATGTATGTATGTATGTATGTATGTATGTATGTATGTATGTATGTATGTATGTATGTATGTATGTATGTATGTATGTGTATGTATGTATGTATGTATGTATGGATGTATGTATGTGTATGTATGTATGTATGTATGTATGTATGTATGTATGTATGTATGTATGTATGTATGTATGTATGTATGTATGTATGTATGTATGTATGTATGTATGTATGTATGTATGTATGTATGTATGTATGTATGTATGTATGTATGTATGTATGTATGTATGTATGTATGTATGTATGTATGTATGTATGTATGTGTATGTATGTATGTATGTATGTATGTATGTATGTATGTATGTATGTATGTATGTATGTATGTATGTATGTATGTATGTATGTATGTATGTATGTGTATGTATGTATGTATGTATGTATGTATGTATGTATGTATGTATGTATGTATGTATGTATGTATGTATGTATGTATGTATGTATGTATGTATGTATGTATGTATGTATGTATGTATGTATGTATGTATGTATGTATGTATGTATGTATGTATGTATGTATGTATGTATGTATGTATGTATGTATGTATGTATGTATGTATGTATGTATGTATGTATGTATGTATGTATGTATGTATGTATGTATGTATGTATGTATGTATGTATGTATGTATGTATGTATGTATGTATGTATGTATGTATGTATGTATGTATGTATGTATGTATGTATGTATGTATGTATGTATGTATGTATGTATGTATGTATGTATGTATGTATGTATGTATGTATGTATGTATGTATGTATGTATGTATGTATGTATGTATGTATGTATGTATGTATGTATGTATGTATGTATGTATGTATGTATGTATGTATGTATGTATGTATGTATGTATGTATGTATGTATGTATGTATGTATGTATGTATGTATGTATGTATGTATGTATGTATGTATGTATGTATGTATGTATGTATGTATGTATGTATGTATGTATGTATGTATGTATGTATGTATGTATGTATGTATGTATGTATGTATGTATGTATGTATGTATGTATGTATGTATGTATGTATGTATGTATGTATGTATGTATGTATGTATGTATGTATGTATGTATGTATGTATGTATGTATGTATGTATGTATGTATGTATGTATGTATGTATGTATGTACCTCCTCCATCTGTAACCCATTTACTGGACATGTAGGGACACACTTAAAATATCCTGAACCCTGCCAACAATTTCAATGGATCCCTAAAGAAAAAATTAAAATGAACAAAAGAAAAATTACTATCGTTGAAAGTGAAAGCGAAAGCAAAATCGGCATCGGAGATAGAGGCCCCGAGCAAAATAAGTTAATGGTATTCACTAGTTCAACTCAAGGATCCTAAGCTCTAATTCCATAGAATATGTTAGTACGATAAATTATAAAACGCACAATGAGAAGGTAAAGAATAAATATACTTTAAAGAATTTCAAACATATAAATTACAAAATAAATAAAAACTCACCAGGCACATAGGATTGTTGAAGTAGACAAATTTACCAGCTTTATCTGCGATTGATGAAAAAGGAAGCAACAAAGAGACAAAACTTCAGATCAAAGTTACAAATCACAGAAGCTAAAACACGCTGAGGAGAAGAGCATAAAAACACCTGTCTAGATCTTCCTCCATCTAGTTTCTGTCGTTTGATGGCTTGGTTTTCTAGAGCCATATTAGGAGTTCCAACATTGTCGGTTTTTATCTTCAACACCGAGGGGTTCTGTATCATTCTAGCTATCTTTTTAGTCGTCTGATGTTTCTTATCACACACTTGTTTTTTCCTGAGAAATTATCAATGGTTTAGGGGTGCAAGCTTCAGCTTCTACTTGCACAGTACATTTGCTTTTCTCTTCATCATCGGGAAAATTTAAACATGATTTTTCAGTTAGGGCACTGAAAATCCGACATAATCGAATCAAAGACACAATTATAAGAACCAAAGTATTCATACAAAACTCGATTAATGTTGGAAAAAAAACCACAATTCTTTTAAAAAAGCTGCATTATGAAAAATACCAAAAGGAAATTAAAAATCTCAACTTTTCTCCTTGATAAAAATGCAACAATTTTACTTGGTAACATGTAAATTGTTGATTAGATTAATATCCCAATATCCCTGAAAACTATCTTAATTCGGTGAAGCTTAATTACATCACAATTCTTTTTCTTTCCCTATCAGATCTAAGCAATTAAGAGAACCACGAGTCCTATAATTTTCAGAATATAATTCAATAACAAACAATTAAAATCAATCAGGTTAAAATCTAAAGTAAAGTAATGACTAAATCAAAACCCTAAAAATACCAAGAAAAACCAAGAATAACGGATCAAAACGATACTATTACATAGAAAATAGTAAGAGAGAGAAAAAAAAGAGAACATACAGGAAGGAGCGTAGCTCAAGGAGGTTTCGAACCAGTGCTCGGCATTGCGTGCTTCGTCTTCCAATTCTCCTTTCATGAAATCAAAGAAACATGGCGCCGAGAACTCGTATAACTGGTCGATAACTGTGGACGTCATAACTTTTGATCCGTCCATCAGATTCTTAAAACGGTGAGATTTTTTCTCACTATTTTGTTTTGCTGGGGGAGGAATGAAATTTGGTGAAAAGGTATTTTCTTCAGTCTCCAATTTAGGCACCAAAATTGTAAGTAACCATAATAAAAATGAAAAAGGGTTAGAAACTATAAACTTGCCACGTTGGTGAACTTCAAAATTACAATCAAATCTAAACATATGAAGTTAACAAAGGGATAAAAAAATTGGGAAGAAATTATGGAACCTTACAGTGAGGGAAATAATAGGAAGAGATGGTGGATCTGAGAGAAGATATACCTTGAAATTTGAAGAGAGGCAGAGAGACGATGAAAGAAAAGGACGAAGAATATATAAAAAAAGTACAGAGAGAGAGAGTGGCGCGCCTGAGAGGAGGCTGAAGTGTTTCTTTGAATTTTTAAAAACTTAGTATCACGCTACTTTAGTGGCGTTTTTAAGTAAAAACGCCGCTAAATACTCGTACTTTAGAGGCGTTTTTTAAACAAACACCGTTATAGAGTAGTACTTTAGTGGCGTTTTAAGCACAAACGCCGCTAAAGACTCGTATTTAGTGGCGTTTTTATATAAACGTTGCAATAGAGTAGTACTTTAGTGGTGTTTGTGCTTAAAACGCCTCTAAAGTACGAGTATTTAGTGGCGTTTTTGCTTAAAATGCCACTAAAGTACTAGTCTTTAGCGGCGTTTGTACAAAAATGCCACGAAAGTATGAGTTTTAGCGGCGTTTATACTTAAAATGCCACTAAAGTACTACTCTATTGCGGCATTTTTTAAACAAACGCCGCTAAAGTATCATTTTGTGGCATTTGGATTGTAAACGCCGCTATATGTTTAAATGCTGTGGCGTTTTCTCTACAAACGCCGCTAAAAACGCCGCTACAGAACAGTTTTGGTGTAGTGTATAGCCGGGCACAACAGGGCAAATTCTGATTTGTCTGCGGTCTCTGCAATGTGGTTAAAGCAAACAAATGAAAACAAAGTTGCAGATCATGGTAAATCTTCAAAAGTGTCGGACTTCAACCGAATTTCGGATGATCCGGATCGGAATCTTACTCGCCATGAAGACAATGAAGCAGATGGATCATTGAAGGAGTCGATGGCACATCGAGCGAATCAGCTAGAGAAGAAAAAGTTGCAGCTGAAGACCAAGGTGCTCAACTTAGAGAAGCAGCAGTTGAAGTGGAAGCGTCGAAGCTGGAAACAGGAATTGAAGCTGGACAAGATGAGACTGGGAAACAAGTGTCTGAAACTTGGAAACGAATGCATAGCAATGCAACTTAAGGAGAAAATGAGTCTCGAAAGCGTTTAACCAATATCGATTTGAGCTCGGGATCTGGATATCTATTTGTTTATATCCCTCGATATGTATATCCATCAAAATTGGTTCTGCATTTTTTTCTTCCTGGAACTGCTGTTGTTTGCAAACATTATCACCATTTTCAATGACATTGTCTTCGATCACTAATGAGTGTATATTTAGAGTGTAATACTTAAACATTTGAAAAAATTTATATATAAACAATGTGAGATTCATACTTTTTTTTATTTTGGTTTTAGATGACGCCAACGTTAGAGATTTTGCCGGAAAAACCTGTCACCTTCGTAAAGACACACCCTACAAACTGCCGGAAAAACCTGTCACCTTCGTAAGGACACACCCTACAAACCGCGTCTTTGAAAAATCATTTCATACATGACGTACCTGTACCAAAACGTATTATTTTCCAAAATAAAATTGTTCCCCAGAAAATAGATTTAAATCTTAACCAACTTAATAATTCAAGACAAGTACCTTTTATTTTTAATAAAAATAGGATTAATTAATAAAGTTTATAAAGCATTATTTGATAATTATTATGTTTAGAATTTAAGATAAATATTTTTATAACTATATTAGAATTTAGAGTTCAGGGTTCAATACTATAGTATATTATTTTTGCATGAGAATCTAGAGAGAGAGTACGTGTAAATAAAATCAAAGCGACTCTCTCAATTCTGTTCAAATTCTGTTTAAGTTCATTTCACAACTGACCCTACGCCCAAGACTCGTTCTATGTATAGAATTCTGGGAAGTTAGAGAAAATTCATCTTCTTTTTTTTTATTTCACAAAAAATATATCTGAATAATTAAATAACAATCTTCTCTGTTATTTTATCTTGGGGTTAGGAGCAAGAAAGAAAAAACAAAATATTGTTTTTCTTTTCTTTAAAAAAATTGTGGGGTTTAACAACATGGTACGTATTGCACATCTTGTTCCATTGATAATGGTGCTGGTTCAGCTTATATTTGCAGGAATGAATGTAATGTATAAACTGGCTGCTAATGACGGGATGAGTTTGCGGCTTATTGTGGTCTATAGATTCATGTTCGCATCTGCTATAATGGTTCCCCTTGCTTTAATCTTCGAAAGGTTCCAGCTGAATCGAATATATTATTTTCCTTTTTACTCTTTTATCTGTTATTATGATCTTTGAGTTTCTTTCTGTTCTATCTTTCACAGGAAGAGCTTGGAGAAAATCAATCGAAAGATAGCGCTTCAAGGATTTCTTTGTGGATTATTCGGGTGAGTTTAAAGAAAAAGGGGAAATCCCACGAATTATTTCACTTTTCTATGTTAAAAAATAGCAGAAAAAAAGGACTAAACTGAAGTTTTTTTTAAACAGTGGTGCACTAGCTCAAAACTTTTACCTGCAGAGCTTGGTGTATACATCTGCAACTTTTGTTGCGGCCATGATCAACCTTGCACCAGCCTGTGTTTTCATTTTGGCCATTTGTTTCAAGTACAATTCTTACTCTTTTCGGTTTCCGGTAGCCATGATGCGCTTGAGTCGGGTCGGATTATTTTCCGGGGACAATCTCCATGTTGCAGTCTTTTTTACAAGGGTAGAATTTTTTATGGCAGGATGGAGAAACTGGCAATAAGAACAAGAGCAGGGCAGGCAAAAGTGTGTGGGACATTAATAGGAATATCTGGAGCAATGTTGTTCACATTTTACAAAGGCGTAGAGATACACATCTGGAAGACACATTTAAACCTTCTGAAGCATCCCCAATCGGCGAAAAGTTCGGCATCATCCGACATCAGCAAGTTTGTTCTCGGCGCATTTTTCGGTCTTTTGAGTACCATTTCATACTCTTTGTGGCTGATCACACAGGTAAAAACTTTCTTTCTTCCTTTCCATGACACAAACTTCATAGTGCTTACTTGTGTTTCAATTTCATCAGGCAAAAATGACTGTAAGATTCCCTTACCTTTATTCAAGCACTGCTTTGATGTGTGTAACGGGAGGGCTGCAAGGAGCTTTGATTGCACTTTGCACTGTGAGAGATTGGAGCCAATGGAAGCTTGGCTGGAATGTTAGGCTATTAGCAGTTGCTTATGTGGTATGTTAATGGCTGTTACTGTTTTTTCTTTTCTGGTTTTTTAATGATGTTCTGCAAATTTTGGACATTTTGAAGATGTTGTTTTGCAGGGAATCATGGGATCTGCTTTGTTGGTGTTCCTGGTTTCATGGGCGGTTCGTATGATGGGTCCTCTGTATGCATCTATTTTCAATCCCTTGGGGCTTGTCTTTGTTGCCATTCTTGGATCTTTGTTGCTCGATGAAAAGCTCTACGTAGGAAGGTATACCATTTCACTTTTACAAAATCATTGTCATTGATTGTGATACAAATATGTATACAGAGGAGATAAAATGAGCCTGAATCTAAAGAATTGAGTTTAAATTATTCAAGTCCGATAAAAACTCGAACTTGAATTGCTCTGAGCCTAGAACAATTTGAACCCAAAAAAAAAAATGATCTTGAATCCAAGAATGTCTAGTCTTGAAAAGCTTTGAGCTATAAGAGACCTTAGCTAAAAAAAATCAAACTTAAAATGACCCGAATGCAAGATAAATTAAACATTAAAAGACAACTTCAACCTAAAATGATTTGAACTAAAAAAATACTAGAATTTGAGATAGTCTTAGGATTAAGTGTATTGAACTTTAACATTTTATTAAGTTAAAAACTAGAAAAGGTTACATGAGAAAATTCTGAACCTAAAATTACTCGTACATGTACATCTCAAACTCAAAATTATATGACCTGAATCTGAAGTCAATCATCTATATGTATATGAGTCTCACCCTCAAATCCGAAAACTTGAGTTTAATGAATCTTAATTGCCTTGTTTGTTGTTTTTGCTATGGAAATCAACAGTATCGTAGGAGGATTGATGATCGTGTGTGGAGTATACGTGGTGCTATGGGGAAAAGCCAAAGAGGCGAAGCAGAAAACTCAGTTAGTACCACTGCCGACAGCTGATATAGATCCATATGAAAAACCAGAAAAAGATAAACAAAGTGAGATCAAGGAAACAGATGAAGAAGACACAGATGAAGAAGAAATAGAAACCCCCCATGCAGTAGTTCTAGCTTGAGATGCCGTTTCCAGAGCTTCAAATTTTGGCCCATTAGCAGCGGCAGACATTGCAGTAGACACTTTTGAAGTTCATTGTTAGTTTTCTTGTCATTTACACAGGGATATAAGGAGTGATTCTTTTTTTCAATAATAATTCAAAGGTCAAATTGTATAAGCATGAAACTGATATATATCACTGTTATTATAGCCCTATATAGCTAGCTATATATATATATATAGCTAGCTGCTAGCATATATTGTTTGTTGATAGAACTATTTCAATAAAAAGGGTTTCTTTTTGCTGTTAAGTAGGGATTGAGTGAATCACATGTTGACATGTGCTGAAACAAAAACCCTAAATTTAAGTATAATAGGGGGACTAAAAGCATAATTTGACTAAGTAAAAGTAGGCGGCTAGGGGGCATAAGTTGCACAGCCGGTGCCATAAGTTGCACAGCCGGTGCCATAAGTTTCAATGGCCCACGTGCATGGCTGCTAAGGGAGTTGCTCATGGACATGGCAAATGCGTAGTTTAATGCAAGTTAATGGGCGGTTTCAACAAATTCCCTCTATAAACAAAGTGAAAAGGTCATCCCTTAAAGGAGAAGATGGAAAAGAAAATAAGATGGGGACGAAGATGATGATAGTTGCAGCTTTCATTTTCTGCATTATCAGTTCACAGAATGCAAAAATCGAGCCGCAGGTGGATTGCTTCGCTGCTTGTGCTACTCGTTGCCCTCTAACCAACTGTAAGTACATAGAGAAAAAAAACAACCCTTTTTTTTCTGGTTTATTAATTATGATTGTGTTTGATTGTTGGTTGATTGATTGCGGCAAGGCTTAGACAGCATTGTGAACGCAAGTGCCAGATTCGATGCAGTCCAGGTAAGGCTGTAAATACAACCGTGTTTGTCGTATCATCTTACTATCTTGTTAGCTCCTGGAAGATCAAAAATCTACATTCTACATGTATCTTACGATATATTCTACTATGTGCAGATTCCATAGCAAATGGGAATTTGGTTTAGCACCTGGAAGATTAAAATCTACATGCTACATTCAAGTTCCATGGTGTTACGTATGTATCTGTGTTCATATCGTATCCAACATTTGTATAATACAGAAAGTAGAATAAGAAATGTTTGGAAGAATAAATGTACTGCTCTATTATTTGGAGAAAGTAAAGCTGAAAAATTAAACATTGGCTGAGCGAGATGAAATGTCCTATTAACTTTCCTACAAAAATTGCGGCCTAGAATGAAAACCAACATTACAAGGTCCATTACAGCACAATCTCTCAAGCAAACAAAACCTTAAATAATGTCTAAAATGACTTTTTTGTTGTTTTAAACAAAGACTGGCAATGAATAGAGCAACCATCCACTGGTTTTGTTTCAATCTAAAGCCATAGTTCTTCAGAAGGATCTAGGATGGTGCTTGTTGCTCAAGCACCTTTCTGGAATGGACCATCAGATGCGAAATCCTGAGGTGGACCGCGTCCACGTCCTCTTCCCCTTCCTCGTCCACTACCTGCAACAATCACTGATTAGTCAAACTTGGTGACAACAATCATTTTACTTAACATGTTTAGGCTTGTGTTGAAAGTTGGGGGGAAAGATGGGCTTTCTAGTCACTAAAACAGAAAATTGACAAGAAAGCATTGGAAGCAAAGACTTACCACGACCCTGGGAAGGCAGTGGTCCTGATGGGTCATTACCGTTGTAATATCCTGAGTCTTGTTGCATATTTCCACCAGGACCACCACCATACCCTCCCGCATGCCCTCGGGAACCACACCCCCTCCCACGACCTCGATGTCTGGCTCCATAACCTCGCCCATCATCATATCCTGCATTTCTGTTCTTTACCACACCATTGCCATTGCCTGCACGAGTAACATTTTCATCTAAGTGTTGGTCGACAGTGGCGGAACATAACAGGGCCAAGGGGAGCCTTGGCCCCCACCAATTATTTTTTAAAGTATTAATTAATATTAAATAAATAAAGAAAAATTTACCAACCCCCCTCAATAGAAAAAAAATTGTATTTATGAAAAATAAAAATATTTTAACCCCCGCTATAATAAATTCCTAGTTCCGTCCATGTTGGTCGATATGTGCTGAAATAAATTCAATCGTCAGTAGATATAGAACTATTTATGGAAAGTCATCTATGTGCTACAAAACCAAGCAACTATTTGTAACCAGCAGCAACCTTGCTGTCAAGTGTCAACCTCTACTTCTCCCTTAACCATTTTTCACTAAAAAAACGTATGATATTCAATTAACCTTCCCAAAAAGAGTCCTTTTACTCATCACCAAACTAAGCACACTCGCATTGGAAAAGCAAAATGACAGCCGAAATTGTAAATGGATAACTTTCAACGTGTACAAGTACTATAAAAGAAGGAAAATATCTTTGCTCAAACACCTTTAATGCTTTATAGTACAAAAAAAGACATGATGATTGGCTACACCTACACACTTTCCTTGACCATGTGCTTGCCTCTTGATGTTAAGGGAGGTCTTCAATTTCCATGAATGGAAGTACAAATATCAACTAATGCAAGACTCGACATAAACCTGAAATGCATAACATCAACGCTAGATAATTTTCTAACCTCCTTCATTGTCCTCAAACTCACTCAATGGCTTCACTTGATCTGCTGGGATCGGAGGCTGATATCTGACAACAAAGTTACAGACAAAAACAAAGCAGCATGCCAAGACATCATTAATAAAGAACAGGATTCAGCACCCAATACTGTTTTCAACATTGTAAACTTTTAAATACAGATAAAAAGAGGTCACCTACCCTATTGAAGATGAATCCAGCTCCTGTTTAGACAAAGTAATCGTGATTATTGAAACATGGCGAGTGGTTTCTAGGCTGCACAAGCAAACCAAACATTAGTGGCAATGATAATAGTTCTAGCAAGAAGATTGATGCTTTTAGTACTAGGAAGAAATAGGTTCTTACGGAAGAAGGCCTTCTTCCAGTGGTTCCCAGGTGTCAGTTATGTCTATCGATCCAGCCGATGTGTTCTGATGAAGACCAGCAATCTTCCTCTGGGAGAAAGTTAATACATTTTAGTACAAAATCGGTACATACATACAAACATATCTATATCACACTGAAACATATTTCCACATATCAAGAGCACATTCTTTTGAACAAAATGAACAACAAAGCTAACTAGTAGGGAAAGCAGTGATGGTGTTCAAAAACCAATGTCTAACAACAAGATTAATAGAAGTTAACTTAAACTCTAGACTACTAAAAAAAAGAACACCTTAATTAATTCAGCAATCATGACAGTCTTGTTGATAGCTCTACCCGTGGCTTTAAGTACAATCTCATTGGCACCTTTCTCCTATAAAAGAAAAAACAACACGAAATCAAATCAAACACACCACTTTCTTCTTCAGCAAAAAAAAACAAATCAAGTATTAGAATACATTAAACGCAATACCAATATCCAACAGAAAAAAAGGGGGGACCTGAAACAGAGTGATGGCGTAAGAAATATAATTCCTCATTCTCCCTTGAGCTGTAATTCTGAGTTCATTCTCGTTAATGGGTGTGTCAGCTTTTGGCTTCTCCACCTTCTGGTACCGGTCCATTTCTATACAAAAAAAAATGTTTCAAATCTCAGTTTTTTCTCTTCTTAGAAAGAAAACAAAATCAAAATCCAAGGTTGGAAATCATTTAGAGATTAAACCCATATCAAATAAAACGAAATCAAATGTGTAATAGAGATCTAGGGTGAGAGAAACAAAGAAAGAACAACACCAACAAGAAGTGGAAGTTACCTGGGCGAAACAGAGTGACTGCGAGGAAGCTTTGAGTTTTAACAAAGGGGCAAAGGCTAAAGAGGCTTTATACTTGATATGTTTTGAGAAAATCTCTTTGAACACTGCAGTGAGATGAGCTCAGGTGAACGATAGATTTGGAGTCTGGAGAGGAGAATTAGGGTTTTAGGATTTGTGGACTTGAAAACCCTTCTATCCGTATTATCATCCAATAAAAAACTGACACGTGGACTTTCCCAGCTCTACTTCTCATTAGGTGCTCCTGCTATCTCAACGCTTGTTTGTTTTAGTTAAATTAAAAAGGGTTAAAGGCATCAGAGGTCCCTAAATTTTTTTTAAAAAATTAATGTGGCTCTCCAATTCGAAAAAAGAATACAATGTGACCCTTTGACCAACATTTTTCGTTATTGACCAACGGTTCCGTTATTTTGTGTTGACGTGACATTTCAAGCAGTCCAGCCTCTATTTAATGTTGTTATAATTTGGGTAAATGTGTCATCTATTATTCAATTATCTTTTCTCTTCTATTTTGACCACTATAAAAGTTTTCAATATAATCACTCGATAGGTAGTTTTCATTGCATGGGGTTGAAGATGAAGTAAATATTGGTAATAAAGAGTTGGACTTGTCTCCAAATGATCATTTCTCAAAACAAAGTATTATATCTATCGAGCCTGTCTCCAAATCTCAATCGCCCATTGTTCTATTGAAATAAGCCTAGAAATTTTGAGTATTTACTCCTAAGAAATCAAAACCAGAGTCATCGGAGCACGAAAAGCAAGACCGAAATAACAAGCATTTCACTGGAGAAAACAATGTGCAAAAAAAAAAAAAAACAAACGACGAGCAAGACAGACGACCGTGGTGTAATGGCACATGAAGGTGGTGTTGGAATGAAAAAGGTTGTACAGGGGATGAACTGCTTCATCGAGTAATGAAAGAAATGAAAAAAAAAGAAATATTTGATTGAAAAGGAAGAAAAATGAAATGAGCGGATAAAGGAGGAGAGTGGGGATTTGAGAATATATTCAGAGGGAATATTTTTAAAATTTATTATAATTTTGGAATTTTTTTTTGTTTAAATATAGTTTTAAAATTTAAATTCAGTTAATTTTATTTTAATCATATATCAATAAAATAAGAATAATAAATGCCACATCATATATAAATATTAGTAAAATAAGTCATGATGATTAAAATAGGAGAAATTCAAAAGTTGAGTGATTAAATTAAAAACTTTTAAAATTTAGTGACTAAAATAAGAGAAAAAAAATAGTTGAGTGATTAATTATGTAATTTTCTACATATAACAACATTAAATAGTTGATCAAAGGGTCAGTTAATTTTTTTGATTTAGAGGGTCACACTGTCCAAGAAAAAACACAATACAACCACATTGATCTAATAGTCACATTGTATTCTTTTTTCGAATGGGAGTCATATTGATCCAAAATAACACACATAATATGGGTCATATTGATTTTTTTAAAGTTTAGGGGCCTATGTTGCCTTTAAGCCAATTTAAAATCACTCTTTTAATCTAAATGGAACCCTAATTGAACCAGGTAAGTAATTTTTTTTAAAAAGATTTAGGAATTATAAAAAAAATATCCAATTAATAATATATATTTGCTCGAACTGATCTTTTTAAGAAAAAATATTTTCTTTTGACAAATATATAATACGGTAAACTACACGTCCCAAGCATTATTTTCTTTCAAAATCTAACGTTTAATTTAGATTTTATTTGGACAAACATGTCGTTAAAATTTGAAGTGTTATTATTTGAGTCGGAATCTAAATTTCAAATTTGAAAACACGTAAACTTAAATGACCATATTCGAGTACAAGAACTAATAAACTTCTGTGTTCATATATTTCCATGGATTTATATGGCATATCCATGTTTTAGGTATATACGTATATTACACATGTTCATGTATTTGTACCATATAAATCACGAATAAAAATTATTCAGCAATCAACTAAACATTGGAATGTTTCTTTACAACCCCATCCATCATATTCATATGGAAAGACCCGAGGTTTCTTACTGACAGTACAAAATCCATATACAGAAGTTAACTTACGCTCAATGAGTGCTACTTCAAAGTGTAAACCTAACACTATCGATGATATGTTACCTGCCTGTGTTCTCCTTTTAAGGTGATCTAACTTCTACTGATCTTATATCTGATCTCCGTTGGCATCTCTTCTACTCCGTCTTCTCTGGCGGAGGCGGCTCACCAAAGAGATATTGACTCCATCATCATCATTGTCACTACTACAGTTGTAGTCGCCTGGATCAGATAAACCAACAGGTGAGAACTCATCTGCTGCATGCATAGGCTGCGTTGGTTGTCTACCGATGTCATTCCTGGATGGTCCAAATGCATGCAGCAGAAGAAAAACAAAATTTCCATCTAAGTTTGCTTCGAGACCTCCATTCCTTTCGGCGGCATCTGCAACGATACCATCATCTTCATCTGTCGCGAAACCATGGTGATTTCCTTCTATCACATAATCACCGAAAACCGTTGCCCCTGGTATTGCCGATCTTATTATGCTCATCACATCCTCCTGCACACGTTCCTGTACAAGCCTACTCCATTTCTGTTTGAGAACAGGGTCCACTTCTCGAGGCAGAGCACATGGATGATCCGATCTCACGTGTTTCCTTAATTCCTTAAAAGTCCCAACAAAGGTGCAGTCATCCTGCATGCAGCTTCTCCTTTTAGCATTTAAATATTCCCTTGCAGATTCCACTACAGTCCATCCTTTTACCTGACCCCTGCAAAGTGGACATGCGAGTTTCGTTACTCCAAGCTTCTCGACAGACAAACTGGAACCTGAAGCCAAAACCGGATTATCAAAGGAGCTAATCAAAGGTTCATCCTCATTAGACAAGTTAGAGTAGAACTTCTTGTACTGATCAAGGCAGTTCGAGTATCGGAAGCTAGTTCCACACATGTAAGGACGGCAACCATTGTCATGGGATGAGCAAAGAAGAAGAACCGCATTGTGAGGGCACTCCATACAAACAGAACATGTTGTCTCTTCCCAATCTTTCTTATCCAAAGCTTCGGAACATTTTTTAGGACACAAGTCCATAGAGATGTCATGATTAGGAGAGGTAAACGAGTATGGGGTTGGCCGGAAAGTGATCCCACGTCGTCCTTTGCTACCTTTTGCCATCTGCAAACTACACCTCAAAATAATATTGCAAAATCAGAAAACCCCATGACATTAGGGGAGGAAATCTCAATCCAACATATGAATAATAACAAATTTTGGGCTTTCTAAACCGAAAACATAATATATCATTATCCTTGATAAAATTCATATCCATGTTTAAACAAGTGAATCAGACTATCTACCAGAGTCAACAACATACAACTCATAACAATGTTTGATTACCCATTTTACAAGTGAATTAGATCACCATTTAGATTAAACATCATAAAAGAACAATCCAAACCAATGAGAACCCAGTTATAACGTGAAAACTCAAAAGGATGGACTTGAAAAACACCACACCTGCCTTGAGAAAAGATGGTTGAAATCTAGATCGATATAATGGGTCAGATGGAGATACCAAGGCTCACCTGAAAACAAAAACACCCAGATTCAATATATTTAAAGAATCAAAACAAGGTGCTTTTAACAACGGATTCACGCTATACAACAGTAAATTAGCTAATTGAACGATCATAGGAGAACATGAAGCTGAGATTTCGCCCTCATGGGAATTCAGTGTCTATCCATCTAAGATCTACAACTATCAATACAAAAAAGCCAAGAATTCGAAAGTAGTTATATTAAATGATTCCAATCCAGAAAGGAAGTTATCTTCAAAGATTAAAAAGTAAAGACAACATGACGGTACATACCAGGGGAAATTGGGGGAGCGGAGAGAGAATTTGGGGGGGCAGAGAATGAGGGGGGGATTAGGGGGCAAATCGGAGGGAATTGACAGATAAGAGCCAAAGAGCTTTGTTTTTCAGAGGGAAAATGAGTATCGTAGAAATGGATCGACGAATCCGATCAATGGGTATTTTTTTCTTGGAGAAGTGGAGTGGTCGATAAATGAGAAATCTCACGCGACTTGGTGTGTAGTGCCCTTCACGCACCTGAAATAAAGACGTGACGTGTTTGGGATTCACAACCAGGAATGGAGCTAAGAATCGACGCGAGTTGAATTGGGTCCAGATTTCGTCGATCCGAGAAAAGTAATTGTTTTTTAAATTTTGATATGATTTGGATTTAAGAAGATTTATTTGATTTGTAAGTATTTTGATATAAAACTTATATAAGATTCAATCTATTCGATACAAATATATTTATAATCTTATTTTTATTCGATAAAATAGAGATTTAATTAAAACTTGGATCATAACATAATTTGGGAAGAAACCTGGATTCATCAAAAGCTACCAAAGCTGAGAATCATCCTTTGCTTTTCCCGGAATATTAGACAATCTGGGAAAATTACCAACAGAAATCCATGAAAACGTTTCCTTTCAAAGACAAAAAGGAATCCCTTTCTGTATACCCACAAGGTATCCTTTTCTCACATTTTCTTCACACAACTTCCCATATAAGGGAGCTTTGGATTCTTCTTCCTCCAACCTCGATTGTAGTTTAACCGGAAAAACATGTCTCTAAGCCCTCGTCGACATGACGCCGATTTTGGCCGACGAATTTGTTGGGAATCGGGCCCTGAAAATGGACCTTGGATCACTCTCAGTTTCATTGAACCACAGGTCCAGCAGCCAAGTAATGCAGGCACTGAAGAGTTAACCACCAAACCGGCCCCTTCCGCCATCGGAGCATTGCCGACGGTGAACATCACTGAGAACCATGTAGCCAACACCAATCATTGCGCTGTTTGCAGAGATGAGTTCGAGGTCGGTGGAGAAGCAATAAAGCTACCTTGCAAGCATTTGTACCACCCGGATTGCATCGTGTCGTGGTTGAACATTAAAACCACATGTCCCATTTGTCGTTTCAAGATCGACGGGGATTCTAATAACACTGCCAGTGATGACGCCTACGAAACTAGTGAGATGAATCATCGGGACATCGGTCTTGGTGTTGAAGATCTGGCAAATGGCGTAACTTGGCTGCTCTCTTCGAGGCCTCTTCGCATATTTTCTCATTGGACACGCAGATATCTTGATCTTCTCGATAGCATGATCAGTCACCATAATTTTACTCGAGAGGGTAGGATCTGCTACCAGAGCTTAATCACCTGCATGTTCACTGTTTACATTACTGTCATTGCTAAGTAATTGATGCATATGCATACATATACACATATACATACATGCATATACATATATATACATGCATATACATATATATACATGCATATACACACACATATATATATATATACATATATATAGATTGTGTAATACATATACACATATACATGCATATACATATATACATATACATATACATATATATACATGCATATATATATATACATATATATATACATATATATACATACACTCACACATATATATAGATTGTGTAATACAGTAGCTATGTTATCTTCCCTGCAGCTAGCTCCCGGTGGCCCTCTTGGCTTTATTCTATAGGTTTTCTCTATATATCAGCCGCCTGCATTTGGAACCAGTTTCTGCAAACTTTTCAAACACAGATAAATGTGTTCACGCGTGGTCGTGTGTGTGCATATAGATAGATAGATAGATGATTTGTAAAATCTATACTGCTTTTATCATTCATTGAGTATTATAAAACAATAGTTCTTTACATTTCCAACATGTTCGGAAAAAAAGGATCGGCATTTTCTTTACACTTGAATCAATATATTAGAGAGATGGTTCTTGTTGAAACCTGCATGTTGATGACTACTTTAAGTAGCCAAACCATCTCTTGGAGTTATTGTTCCCATTGAGAAAGAAACAACCTGTGTATTTCGTCACAAACTCGAAGTAAGATGTCTGGCTTGTTAAATTTCTGGCTTTTCCATTTCATTTACATGTACATCGTTTCCCTGGAAAACCTTCAGAACTTTTTCGCAGGGGCTTCTACCATGATTGCCTCATCAAAACTTTTGATGTTTTGGAACATAGGAGGGTATAACACAAAATGAATCGATCTTGATCATAAACGGAGATGGAAGGTCAAGAATCCTAAGAATGCTGATAACCAGAGTTCGTTCGGGAGAACATCTGCTGCTATAGCTGTAAATGCTCACAACAATCACAAAAAAAACATTCAAAGCAAATTAGCTATAATATAAATAATACAATGAGAATTCTAAGGAATGCATGTATTCACTTAGCAGTTGGTATAAGTGGCTTTGTGTTTTCACTTAAGCATATATTCTTACATGAAGGAGATGGCGCAGGCGGAGACTGAGCAAGTGATGCAGAAACCGGGCCTTTCGTGCTGTCCATACCCTGGCCTGGATGAGAGCCGTAAGACACAGAAGGTAAAGGTGGTAGATCTGGAGACAACTTTGATCTGGGACTCATTAGAGGTGGATGGTTAGAAAATTGTCTAGAACGAGATCTCGGAGAAGAGCTTGGTGGAATTGCAGCGTGAGTGTACGGACAGGGGGGGTGGATGGTGAATTGCTGGACTAGAAGTTTCAGGAGAAATCAAAGGCGGAAAAGTATGGTAGAAGCCACTTCCCGGACCTGGTGAATGAATTGGACTATGACTGGAAGGAGCAGCAGATTTGCATTTGGGACAAGGCGGAAGATGATGCTTCTTGGGTGCTGGTGCTGGAGAACGACTTGGTGAAAAAGGAGGATGCCGGGACATTGACGGTCTTGGAGACGAAGCTAGTGGAGGAGTGGGAGGGGTAGGATGAAGCTTACCCTTCAGATAAGATGACAAGCTCGTGCTTTTAACTTTACCGAAGACTGAATTACTAAGCCCGAGATTCTTTGCTGGAGAGCCTGTAATGGTTTGAGCCAACTGCCTTAATCTCTGAGGCAGAAGGCTACCGAAACCATCTGACATCACCAAAGCCTGAACTATGATCGGAGAGGACATTGTGGAGCCAATTCTGTTTGTTAATTGCACAAACAAATTCTGCATTGAACAAATAAAATCAATTATAAAACTGCAATATATCTTAAGGCTACCATAGATCAACCCGAAAACCAACCATTAGTGAAAGTGTGTACGAGTAAACATTGTTTGAAACTTATGCCATACCTCATAAGACCTCAGATGCAATCCATATTTTAGCTCATCCTTTAGCTCAATGAATTTGTCATCAATTTCAGATATCGAATTATATAGAGTAAAATTGAATAAAATATGGGTTATTTGCCCGATAGAAGCATATTGTAAAGGGTTTACAGTGATCCCCCCAGGAAACTTTAGAATCTCAAACTCAGATGGCTGCCCTAACACGGAGGTCGTCAAAGTCAGATTGGAGTGATGGAGGAACAGCTCGATTAAATATGATCTCAGCACACTTAGGTATACTGGATTTATCGGTCTATTTACAGGATCGGGAAGAACACCGAACACCACATAAGTAGAATTAGATGCACTGGACTTGTGCATGGATAGGATAGCCACCTGTTGAAAATTAGTAGCTTTTATATCAACTTTTAACACATATAATGGAAGAAGCTGGGCGTTTTACCTTAGTATACGGAACACCTATTTCTTCATAGATATCATACTCTAACTTTCCGATATGCCGAACGAGCTCCGACACCGGTTTCTCAAGTGTAAAATATGCTTGAACCGGTGCTGCAAAGAATAAATAATAATAACATAAGCAACAAACAAGGAAACTTACTAATGGAACTACATCAATGATCTTGAAAGGACATTCATATTCCGATGGAAGGTCTTATTTCGATATGCATTTAGACCAAACCCGGAAAGGATCAATTCGAATCAAGCAACTGAATCGATTTAACTTTGTTTGGCAGCTCATTTCAAGAAAGAAGTAAACATGTCAAGGAAGAGTACCCGGTTCAATATAGAATCGAATACATACAAATCGACACATGATCTTGCGAAATATCACCATTTTCTTTGAGATCAAACTGCTTACCAATTTAAGCTAATACAATAGGAAACAACCACTTCCATTGTTACAATAGGAGCTAGCATAGATTCATAATTGCAACACAGTTAGATTGTGAATGAGATATAAATCAGGGAAATACCCATTGATACTCAACACTTGAGGATCCAAACGAAACAACAAAAATGCAGCGAGAATCATAAATACCCATTTTCTGGAAAACCCTAATCAAGCAAACAAACTGTTCCAAATTTTTAAAACATGGAACTCCAATGACATGAGAAAGAATAACAACAACAATAAAGAAAACTTACCGCTGAGCTTAATAGCTTGCTTAGAATCGAACCCAAATTTCACAGAGCGAGAAGGGAGGATCCAGAAGATCCCAGACAACAACGCCGACAAACTGAGGAACAAAACAAAAACACATCTGAAACTGAACACGTTTGAAAAGCTCGACAAGAATCCAGGATGTCCATGATTGTTCCCTGATTCAACATTCTGCTCTCTTTGCTGCAGATTTTGGTCCTCATTCTTCCCCATTGAAAGAGCATCAGTAACAAAAACAAAACAAACAAAACTTCTCTTTCTCCCTGCATCTACCTTGGGTCCTTCTTATTCTTCTTCTCCTCCTCCTCCTTCTTCTTCTCCTTCTTCTTCTTCTCCTCCTTCTTCTTCTCCTCCTTCTTCTATCTTTCACTGTCGAGAAAACCACTGGCACCACGAACAAAAGGGTTGTGAGAAATGGGTGTGGATTGTTGTGACATAAGTGTTAATGGTAGGCGTATGCCTCTCACCAATTTCTCTCTAGTGAAATTTGACAGAGTTTTGCATTTAAGTCAATTTTAAATTACTTTATAGGCTACCCAACGTTGAGGACAAGCAAAGGGTAAAGGGGAAAGGGGAAAGGCGAAAGGAGTGAATCAAGCCGGCGAAGGGAGTGAACGAAGCCGGTTTTGGATAATTTAAACTCTATTATAATATCAAAATTAGCCATTAATGTTGATAGATTATTCACTTTCATCCCTATTTCTTAAAATTATTTTGATCATTTTATTATATATTTTTTAAAAAATTTAAAAATGGTAAATATAATAAAAATAATTGTTCATGAAATATTGAAAAGAAATTTAAATAATCTGTAGTATTTATAGGATAATATATATTTAAAAAATTTCTTAATTATTAATAATGTATACGACTATAGACAGACGTAATTGTTCAAATTTAAGACTTTTAAAGAGAATAATACCATTTTTTATTATCGATAACATTAAATGAGTTATTTGATATTAAAATTAAATTATAAGAAACTAAAAGGAATATATAATTTGGTAAAGTGTGTTTAATTTTTATTAATATAGTGCTTCTTAAATGTAATTTGGGTTTCACTCAAGGGGTAGGTGGGGGAGGGAAAAAGTTTACCAATATGGTCCATGCACGTGGACCAATGATAAGTAAAAAATCTCCTTTGTACATCAATTACAATTAATTATGCCTGCATCTTGATGTCTATTTTGATTGGATAACAGTTACCCAACACTTGTGGGGTGCAAGCTTATTGGACAATTCATCTACATTTTAGCTTATTTTGGTTTAATTGCAAATTGGTACTTGTTTTTTGTGTTGGTACTCAGTGATGATCAATGAGGGTACAAATTAATAATCAGATACAAAATTAAGATCAAATATCGGTAGAGACAATTCATAAGAAAATTTGGTTCGACTTGAATTTTACACGTTTTAATGGTTGATTTGCTTGATAGACCTACATTTGGCCCATTGGCCTTTGGATACAATTGCTTTATCTACTCTTTTGTACCCATAGATGTCCAATTGGTCTAATTAGACTAATTAACTCGAGAACAATCTTGATGCAAAACCTGAAAGAAACAAGCTAGGCAACAAAGACGACGATTCTTGATAGCACACCACTTAACCGAACACTAGTGTAAAGACAACACAAAGCCACTCCAATACGACTGACACAAGCTACCCAAAAAAACACATCGGACTGAGCAACAAATTCAGCATATTCCCTAGTATTGATGAAGAAGCACAGTGGAGGCTACTTATATCTTGACAGACATAACTCAACCGATCAGAACCCCTCATTTAGATTTAAGCACAAACACCCTCCCACGCTATTTAACCTGAATGAAAGCATGTAAACATCTGGAGAAATAAGAAAAGGATGGACAGATTCCCGGCCAATTACACTTGCACCAAAACGCGATCATAGCCATTGCGGACTCAAAGATTTGATTAGCAAAAACTCTTTTCTTGTTGAACAACACCTCGTTTCTACTCCGTCATATTGACCACCAAAAACCAAAAAAAGTTACGTTCCAAAATTTCTTACCTCCCTTAGCATTCGAGACACCAACCCACGAGAGAAGGAACGATCTCACATCGGAAGGGCAAACAAAATGAAAATTCCAGTTCGCAAACCACCGCCGCCAAACAGTCCGGACCACTTCACAATGGCAAAAAAGATGATTCACCGATTCAGGTTCTTTGAGGCATAGCACACAAACGCATGCATTAGCGCTTACCACTCCCCGCTTTGCTAATTCCACAAGCACCGGTAATTTTTTAGAGACAATCTTCCATACAAACAGCTTGACTTTTGGGGGAGCACGATTAGCCCAAACTAATTTCCAGACTTCATCACAAACGGCCTCTCCAACATTGTCTAGCTGGTAGAAATATTTAGGTGAGTATATACCATTCGCCGACCCCATCCATTTCAGCCGATCATGCCCATTACAACTGTTCGCTACACTATTCAGAATAGATATAAAAACCACCCATAGATCCCATTCTCAATCAAATAACATTCTTCTTACTTCAATTTTCCATACCCAACTTCCATTCACTCTTTCACTGCTTTTCCAGATTTTTTGACAGCCAGGTTGAAAATCCTCGGAAACGAGGCTTTAAGCGATGGAATTGAGGTCCAATAATCGTTCAAAAAATCAACAATTCCATCTCCTAGCACAATTCTCATGTCCTTTATGAAGATATCATCATTCACTGTAAAGGACTGCACGATATTCCTTCAAATCCACGACACCTTTCTTGAAGGAATCAAAGACCTAGCGTCAAAATCATACTTAGCAGCTACCACCTTCCTCCATAAAGAATCAGATTCACATCCAAACCTCCACAACCACTTATTTAGTAAGGCTCGATTTTTTTACCTCGGATCAAATATCCCCAAACCGCCTTTGTTCCTCGGATTACAAATCTTACTCCATTTCACCCAATGAATGGATGGCCAGACTTAGCGCTTCAAAGGAAGTTAGCAACAAGACTATTAAGCTTATATGCCACAGCAGCCGACATTTGAAACAACGACAAGTAATAAACCGGGAGATTCGAAAGAGTCGACCTTACCAGTGTTAACCTTCCACCAAACGATAGCAACTTACTTTTCCACCCATCAAGTCTGGCGTGGAATTTATCAACAATCGACTTCCATAAATCCACTGAGTTTCTAGAATAACCAATTGGCAGCCCAAAATAATTCGACGGAACTCGTTCCCACCCACACTGGATATCCTCAGCCCATATCGAGATAAATCTTTCATCAATATTAACTCCCAATAATTTCGATTTTCTCAAGTTAAGACTGAGACCTGAAGCGATTTCAAAAATTCTAAGTAGTCTTTTTGTGTTTTTTACAGCTTCAATATTCCCATCTGAAAAAACCAACAAATCGTCTGCAAACTGAAGACGGGATATACGAAGCTAACTAACTCCAACTCGAATACCTCCCAACAGCCCCACATCGACCACCTTGTTAATCACAGTACTGAGAGCTCACCCACAATATTGAATAACAGAGGCGATAATGGGCAGCCCTGTCTCAAACCTCTCTTAATTTTAAATTTTTTCGTGGGCGAACCATTAACAAGCACGAATATGGATGCTGAAGAGATGCAAAACTTGATCCATTTCCTCCATCTAGAACCAAACCCCATTTTCCTCATTATTAGCCCAAGAAAATCCCAATCTATCGAATCATAGGCCTTTCGAAACTCTGCTTTCAAAACAACAACCTTTTTCTTTCTTCTTTTTACATCATCGATAACTTCATTTACAACAAGCGCGTTGCTTGCCTTCAATAAACGCAAACTGTGAATCTCCCACCACTTCCTTAACACAGCCTGTCAATCTCTTCGATAACACCTTAGCCAAAATCTTGTACAGGCTACTAACTAAGGATATAGGCCTAAAGTCATCGACGCTTTCCGAATTTCTTTTTTTCAGAATGAGTGAGATGAACGAATGGTTAAACGAGTGATCAAGCCACTTTCCATTGTAAAAGTCTCCGAGGAAATCCATGACTTCCCCTCTAATGGAATTCCAAAATTTCTTATAAAACTCTGCATTGAATCCATTAGGTCCGGGAGTTTTTTGACCCATCAATCGAAGCTATTGCGCTCCACTTCTTCCTCCGAGAACGGGGCTTCTATAGCTTTTCTTGAGGACTCGCACAATTTCTTAAACTGCACATCAAATCTTTTAATTGGTAGAGTTCTCCAAGAATTGAAGCTTCTCTTGAAGTGCTTTTCAAACTCTTCCTCCATCACCTCATTTCGAACTTTGATTCGAGAAATGTGTTTCGATCGACCCCTTAAGGCTGCCGTAGCATGAAAAATTTTGGTATTGCGATCACCCACTTTAAACCACTTCAACCGGGACTTTTGAAGCCATTCCCTCCGCTCTCGCCTATATCTCGACCAAAGTCTATTTTTGAGTACATTGATATCAGCTTGGATGCCAACAACGTCGCTATAGCGAACTGCTTTTTCTTCTAGCTCTTGTATTTCATTCTCAATATCCCTATAGATTCAGGTTCATTTATCTTTACCTTAGCAGCCCAAAACTTTGAGATATCTTTCACCTTTTTAAACATCAAACCAAGTCCCTTGTAGAGCTCCCCCCTCTATACCAAGTAAACCGACTTCCCTCCAATGGAAGATCAACCAGATTACACTCCTGAATAAAATCACAGAAAATCCCTCATGGCAGCAGTATTCCTTAGACCAGCCACCTTTTCCTCTTCACATTTTATGGTGTTCAGATCACCACCAATAATAACTGGAAGACTAATATTAGTAATAATGTCCTTCAGCTGTTCAAAGAATTATCTCCTACTGGTTTGATCATTTGTACCATACACATTGATTAGGACCATTTTTAAATTGAATTGGATTAGCGCTCCTACCAAAGCCACAAACCACCTCTGTGAAAATACTCTTTCCATCGAGAAAAAAAACAGAGTCCCAAAGAGATAGGATTCCGCCTGACGCCCCAACAGAAGTGGAAAAAACTGATCCATGCAATCTAGATCCACACAACCGCTTCAGCACTGCAGGATTCACTTCGGCCAGCATAGTTTCCTGGAGAAAGACAACATTTGGTCGATTTGCCGAGATCAACTTGCAAACAGCTCGATTTTTTTCCTTCTTCCCTAATCTGCGCACATTCCATGATAATATCGAAAAATTCATAGTTGATAAATTAACATCATCATCTTCACACACTAATCGACCATATCTGGCTTAACATTGTCCATCACGAGCTTCCATCTCCACAAGCCTACCACGAATTTTATCGACTGGAGCCAGGAATTCAATTCCCAGTTTGGACCCAATTTCAATCGAAGCTTCTACCTTTGCTGCATGATCCAACCGATGTACACCCACTAAGACATCAGCTTTCGTGCTCCTTTCATTGTTTCCACCAACTTTAGCAGGCTTCAGTACCCTTTTCGAACTAGCACGTTTTCCTTTTTTATTTAGCTTTTTGATTTTTTCTGGCCAGCAATACTACATTGATTGTACAACCCAATTTTATACTCTTTGGGTCTGATCTGCTTTGAATTGGTTTTACGCTTAGTTTGAGCCTGGCCAGAATTATCCGGGCCCAACAATACAGTCAATGGAAAATCTTCAGGGCTGTTGACCAACTGTATGGGAACATCTTGCAATCTTGACACATGAGAAATAGTTGCTTCTTGACTAGGCTCCTTCGAATCCGAATACACATAGACTAACCCATTTTCGATTCTCTCAGCAATAGGTAGTGGCCCACTATTCGAGAGAACTGGAACTTCCGGCAATTCCACGAGGGTTGGACCAAGCAACTCTAATTGGGAATGCTTCACACTGGGCGTGATGGGACAACCTCTGCCAAGACTGCTCTCGCCGGCAATGGGGCTTCTTCCCTGACTACTTTTCTAGATGACCCTCGAAATCTTCCCCAGCATTAAATATTTCATCATTGCCATGATCATCGACCGACTAAAACCCAAAATCTTTCATTTCTCCATCGACCGGTGACCATCCATCAATAAACATGCCATCCCCGTCGAAATCCCCACCTTGATCTTGATCGAAAAAATCTTACCATTAAAAATGATGCAAACTCTATCCGGTATAACGGACACTCTTCGGACTGACAATAAAACTCTGACATCATCAAACCTATTTCGATTAATCGTATCTTCGTCGGATTTTAATAACATTTCCCCACATGCTGGCCAACTTCAAGAAAAAGCTTTCGCTCCATACTTACGGTGGAACGTCCTCAAAAATAGTCCAAACTTTTACCTTCCTCTTTCCCTGATAACCTTCAAGTCTCTCTATCTCCGTCAGCCAAGATCGCAGAAGCTCCCCTCGCATATTCCATGCCCTGGTAAGTTCCTACAGGCTTGAAAATTGAAAAATAGACAGAATACCATGCCATGGACTTACCTTCACATTAAAACCATCCGACCTTAGCACATCTTGAACGAAATCTGAATTGTACATCCCCGAAATCTGCCCCACAAGGCATCGACTCCTCCATTCCAATTCGGCTTTGTCAACACTAATATGATTATATCCTTCCGCTCCCAGAGACTTTTCAGTTTTTGATACCTCTTCCACTATCGACACATGGATTTCAACACCCCGATTAACAACGCTTGTTACCCGAGTCTCCATAGACGGTCTAGCCTTCCCAATAAGAGCTTCTTTGAAAGTTCTTGAATCCTTAAGCTTCCATGTTCACGCCATTCTTACATTCTCCTTTCTTTTGTCATTAGCTGGTTCCTTAATCCCGCTAAACTCAGGAAAGACTTTAATGCGAAACCCATCAGATAGTCTTCCATTGCACTTATCAACAGCGCGCCGAGTATCTGCAACATTCTTAAACCGGACAAAAGCAAACGTTGATCTGCTCAACTTTCTTTTCCAGTTCCAATAAGCGATATAGACGTCAAGGACCTCTCCACACGCGTGAAATAGCTCCTTAAGTGACGATGAATGAACCCTGCTAATATTATCAATAAACACGGCAACCCCATCCCGACGACGTTCAATATACTTCCATACACGGCGGCACTTTCATTCAGCCTCCTCCTCGACGAATTAGCTCTTCGACGATTCATACTGTATTTACACAAGTTTATTAAACACTACCCTCCTAAACTAATATCTTTCATTCACAACACCATGATCCGAATTTATGACCTTACTTAAAATAATTGAGCACAAATAATCAAGCTTAGTTGAACATGAGAATCTAAAAAAAACTAATCGAGCAAACTCAAAAAGTTCGATATTGAGTTTCAAAAGTAAAACTAGATTAAACTTGAACTCGATTTGGTTAAATTACAACACTAGCCCTATAGCAAACATAGTTGAATAGGCTCGTAAATGAATTGAAAGTTCAGCGAATAGTTCGTGAACTGATCGGTGAGAAGTTCGTTTATGTTCGTTTATTTATTAAACAAATGAATATGAATAAAATTTTGAGTTCGTTTAATTAAATGAATGAATATAAACCGAATGTTTGTTCGTTCATTTACGTTTGTGAACGGTCGATAATATATTCGTTCATTTATATTCGTTCGTTTATGTTCATTTGTTTATGTTCATTTATGTTTAGTCCAATCTCTCTAGATCTATTTAAAATATTAAAATCTAATAAATTTTAATATGATACTCATAAAAATTTTAAAATTCAATTAATTTTAAATACAAATAAAAAAAAAGCTCAAAACAATTAAATAAAAATATAATCCTAAAAATGTTAGGAAAGAAAAAAATATATTTTCATTTACATTCAGTTACGTTCTTTTATGTTCATTTATTGTGTACGTTCACGGTCGTTCGTTTACGTTCGTTTATTGTATTCGTTTACATCCGTTCATTTGTATTCGTTTATCATTTAAATAAACGAACATGAATGAATACGAAAAAACTACATTCCTTAACGAACGAACACGAACAAGAAAATTTTTGTTCATTTATGTTCGTGTTCGTTCATTTGTTCGGTTAAAATTAAATAAACGAACATAAACATACCCCATTCGTGTTTGTTCGGTTCGTTTGCATGCCTATAATTGAAGTGTCCGGAAACTAGAGCAATTCTCATAGTATTGTAATGTTAATAGTACTCTCTTAAAGTTATCAAAACTTTCCTTGAAGAACATACACGAAAAGAGAAAAACAAGTTTTGGAATTTTCTCTCCTACCAATCAACGTGTTTAGAACTTCAGATAAGCTTCTTCTTTTGAAAGTATCGCTTCAAGTACCAAATTTGCAGACACGCTGCCGCGATACAAATACCTAAAGACATGATACTGAACCACGCGACTCTGGCGTTTGTGTTCTCGCTCGTAGCCCTCAATTCCGCTTCTCTGCGGCATACAAAGAGGGTGTTACTGTTAGCTTACTTTTAAAAATAAGCTTAAATTTTGAGCAAGCCCTAAAAGGAAAGATTAACAATTACCTGTCCCTTAGATAGAGTAAGTTCTCGTGAATGGCCTCCACTGCTCCTTCGAGTTTCCTCAGCTCGAGCTCAACACCCTATATGTAAATAAGGAACGATGAAATACACAAATGAATATTTAAGGGGAAGTGTACCGAATCAGGAATATGAGAGAACATTTGATTGCAATTTAAATATCATAGCATATTCATCTGATAGTCCAATTCATTTATTTCTTCAGAAACCAATTTATTAAGTCGTCAAACCAACAAAACTTATCAAATGAATTCCAAGGTCATTCAAAATGTTCGACTCAGAAATATATAGTTCCGAGCTTTAGACATGCATCTAATCATTCTATCTGCCTAGCTTGACAGATCAAACTCTACAGAGCAAAAAGATGAAACCAAAAAAAAAAACTAAATTCTTTTTGAGCAAAAGTTGATTGGTATATAAACCACAAGCTTCGAGATACAAGTGCTCTTTTGTGATCTTCATACCAGCAGAAATAAAAATTCTCAAGTTCAACCATTTCGAACCAACATTTTAGTCAGCATTGGGACTAGGAGAATGGCCCTAAATCCGACATTTCAATACATTTCATACCCATGGTTTCCTCTCTAAATCCGAACATTGACTAATTTAAACAAGGAAATAAAAAAATGCTCACCTCAATTTTTTCTTTTCTGGCCACAGACTCCCAGTCTTTAGCTGCAATGCCAGTTTTCCAGTCAATGTTGACACTAAGTTCTCCAGATCCTTGGTAATGGCCCTCGGACCAGAAACATGCTAGGTAATTGCCAGCCTCCTGAGTTGTGAATGCAAATTGACCATGGGTCACATTCTCCTTGTGATGAAGATTGATCCCGTAAGGGGATGTTACCTATACAATACAAACTGGGAGTTAGAAGTTTCCATTGGTGTTTACAGTTTCTATTTCAGAGTTGCAAATTATATTGAAAACATAAAGGGTAAAGCAACATATTTAGTCTCTGAACTTCGAAACATTTCCCAACATAGTCCCTGAACTTTTTGGTCCGCATAAGTCCTTGAACTTGGGTATTTGGTTATTTTGATGACATGGCACTCTAAGATTGTGTCATATGCCATGGTATTAGTGTCACGTCATCTAGAGGACTAAAATGGGAAAACTTACCCAATTCAAGGGATTAACATGGACCAATTTGGGAAATTTTGCCTAAGCTTAGGGACTAAATGTTGCTTTATCCCAAAGATAAATAACAAGCCAGCAGCAATCTAGCACCTGTCCGGAAACATGGTACAGTATCCTACAGAGCAAATCTGGAGATAAAAAAAAGCAGATTCTAGAAAATATAGGGATAACTTCAATGTTGGTTTCATTACATTTACAATATCATCCCTAAATTTCCATTATTCCAAAATCAAATGCTTATTCTACAAATATTAACTTAGAGAGATCAAGTGAACAGTTCCATCTAAATACAATTGGATTCCAATCCAAAAAATCCATGCATGTTCTTCCATAATTTGCTAATTCTTCAGCTAATAGCTAAAATGATCAATCAATTCCCCTAAAACAAAATAATTCCTACACCTACATCGAAAACAAGCTATTTCGAGCACAACAATGACAAATATAACCACTGCATCTTATTTGATTTAAAATTATGCCTAATAGTTATTGATTTATTATTCATTGATCAAAGTAAAGGAATAAAAAAACGACTCAAAACTAGTCAAAACCTAACAATCTTTTCCTAACAGATCGAATATGAGAATTAGGGGAAAAACCGGAAATGAACCTTGACGGAAATGGAAGGGACGTGACCGTGATCCTCGGAAACAACGACGTAGTCAGCCAAAACGACAACGTTGCTCTGGATTTCCTCGGAGACACACTTGGTGCCGGTCTGAGGAACGTTCAACCATATGGCGTCACCAGCCGGAACATTACTCAAACCACACAGCAACACCAGGAACACCGCAGACCGGAACATCACCGACCGCCGCACGTCAGCCTTCCCCGGCATCTCTTTGGCGTTTAAGATCTAAGAAATATGGGATTTGACGAAGATTGATTTGGATCTGTGTTCTTACAGCAGAGAAACTAGACACCGAAGCTAGGATTCAGGCCCACTTGATCTATTGTTCTTTAAAGGAGAATAATAAAGAATAAGCTTTGACTATTATCACATCATTAAATAGCTATGCTCATAGGCCCAGTTCGGTTGGGTTTGGGTGGTTCAGTCGAAAACCATAGCTTGGGCCATTGGAAGGTCTTTGCCATGACTCCTCTTTTGGGTTATTACAACTTTTAGTCCTTAAGTTTGGAAATTCTTTTATTCCTAAATTTTGCTTTGTCCACATTAGTCCTTGACATTTTCTATTTTCAACACTTTAGATGATGTATCAGTTTGATAGTGTGCCATCTAAAAAATAATCAGTATCAAATTGAGACCAATGAATAGTTTTAGATGAGAAGATGAGTGGTAGGAGACATAAAATAAATTCACTAATATTTTGAGCAATTATAAAAGACATTAGAGAACAACAGTTCTAACATCAACGTGTCATAAGAATAAAACTTTAAAGTTTTCTGTGTGAGGAAAATGATTAAATAAAAAAGATAGAATGAAGTGTAAAAAGTAATCCATATCAGCATAAAATCGTTTGTATCATCTTGTTATTTTTTAATTTAATGTTTAAGTGACAAGTAGAAATAATTCAAAATTGTAGTGATCAAAATAAAATTTTATAAAGTTTATTATCTAAAATAGAAATAGGATTAAAGTTGAGTGATGAAAAGAACGTAGTTTACCCACAAAAATATGATATTATGTTCTTCCCAATTATACCTAAAAGGCTATTGAAAGCAAATGCAGAACCTGTCCTATCTGAAGTTAGACAATTTCATCAAATTCAACCAAATTACTGGTACTGAATTCTCATTCGCTCAATATGCCTAATAATTATAATAGATTGTTCAACAAAATTCCTCTCTACTTTTACTTTGCGTTTATATTATTTGCCTAATTGCTCCAGTTTAGGGTTTGGTTCTGATTTGCTATATATATGATTTAGTATTTTTTTATTGTATTTCAAGTTCATGCAAATTGAGGTTTCATAAGGTTTTCTGTGTTCGTCTGCAAGTTGGTCTGCTCTAGGGTTTATTCTATTTAATTAAAAAATATCTGCGTTCCTTCCCTTTTGTTTGTTTAACTAGAAAGTCGTGGAAAATTTTGAGAGAATAGGAAAAGAAGGGTTGAAAAAAAAATCTTATATATTAAGCAGGTAATTTTTCTTTTTCCAATCAGCAATATTGCATTTTCAGGACAATTTGATTAAGGACAATGGATCCAGATTTATTCCTTTTAGTTTCATTGAACTAGCTACGAATATTTTAATTTTGCTGGAGAAACGTTTGTATGTCTGTTGTGATTTTTCGAAAAACAGATATTTCATAATGATGATGTGATTACCTGATAGCAGATGCCTCGAGATTTGTCAAGATCACGGTCTCGGTCGCCCTCGTATAGGTGTAGACATTCGCCATCTCCTGTTAGGCATAAGCATGGGAGGAGGAGCCGGAGGGACAGAAGCCAGTCGCCATATTCATCTTATTCTTATAGCAGGTGATCCCGTTTATGTTCATGCTGTTTGTATTAATTGGTTAACGTACAAGATACTGTAAGGAATTATGTAAGAAAGGTTGGAACTCTGGAATTTGTTTTTGGATTGGAATTACAAATTCTTCAAGTTTATTTGTAAGCTACTTATTTGTACATCTTCTGGTTCTCTTTCGGATTGACGGGAAAGAGTATGTAGCTTGCTTTCTGTTTACAATTATGATTGCTTTTCTAGAATTGGATTACGGACAAGAATTTGATAACAAGTGGCTATTAGATTTTTGAATGCGTCAAATTGAAGGTGCTGCTGCGGTCGAGGATGTACAGTACTGTTGGCATTTTTTAGACCCGTGCTTTCAGTGTCATTTACATTGCAGTGTAATCTTCTGGTTGTCTATGTTTTGCTATGCGTGTGGCACTTTTCTGTTCAGATTGGCACCACTGCCTGGTTTCTTGAGTACCTTCAGGATTATCTATTCGTGTTTAATGACCACCTGCCTGATAAAGAAGTGTAGCTGAATTCTTCCGATAGTGTTATATGGTGTATTATTCAATATCTTCTATGAAATTATTAACTCAATGAGCATTTGACATGTGAGGAACTTTCCTTTTGATTGGTAAATTGGAAATATCATATATGCTAAATACAAAAACACTTGGAGCAAAGTATAAGGAATTCTATGACAGTGATAAGAAGCATGCTCTTGGTTAGAACATTAAAGGCAGTTTCTTCCCATCACTTGAGATGGGAAGTGAGCAGGTGATGGGTGCTGATGGGTTCCTTTCGTTGCTTGAATGTAACCTTATCTTCTTCGTGTCATAAATGATGGAGCTCAATGCTTATCATAACAATGTATGAGGTAACTGTATATGCTTTTATATTATTCTGTTTGATGGTGAGCTTTACCCATTCTTAGTTTGTGTAGCTAGTATGGCCAAATTCTCAATAATTTGTGTTGCTCTACAGAAGAAAGAGTCGTTCCATTAGTCCACGGCGCTACAAAAGCCGTTCTCCAACTGCAAGACTTCATAAAAATCGTTCTTCGACTCTAAAGCGTTATAAGAGGCAAAGAAGTAGGAGTTCTTCATTGTCTCTTACTCATAAATCATCTAGCCCAAATCTTGGGTCAATAGATCGCAAAAATGCTAGTGAGAAACTGAAAAAAGAAGATGAGGACAGGAAAAGGTATATTGAATTTTTGTAGCCTATTGTAATTTTTCTTTCTGCTGTTCTTGTAGATCTTCTTGAATTATAACCACTCTTCTTTCATTTGAATTTTCTTAACTTTTGCTACATGTTCAATATTTATATACTATTTTATTGATATTTGGGTCTTATTCACATTATTCTATGGAGTCACGACTCTGGTGGAAGCTGATATATTATTGTGTAGTTCTTTTCATAACGATATGATATTTGGTTTACTAGGATGACATAACCACAAATCATGTGGGAGACATGAACGTAGAGTTCCCATGTGGGTTGTTAGGTCTTGCAAAACTCATACTTTTATCCTGGCCTTAATTTCATTCTTGATGGGCAAAGAACGTTACTTGCATGTACACAAACTCCCTTACCTTATCTTCCTAGTTGTGATGCATTTTACCAAGCTTACAGTCTGTGTTCTGTGCGTGCTACTTTGTACAACTTTCACAATTTTCCTTCCACAAAATATACAAAGAAAAGACCAGAGAGAGAGAGAGAGAGAGTTATGTATGTGCTTGCATTTTGTAGAGCACTAAGAGAAATGATTGTGCTGTCCGAGCATTTTAATTCTGTTGGTTTTGTTATTACAATGAAAGCCATTCTGACTAAATGATTTTAGTTGCATTGCGTATTGTTCACCATCCATTGAAAAAGGATGGTGTCTATAAAAGTTTTAAACTTTTCTTGTTAGAAATCATACTTTGAGTTTGAAGTATTACGGTGATTAGTTATAAATTTGCGGAAAGTTACTTGATATTCTTCTCCACAGGGTTTTCTGAATGAAGATACTGATATAATTCAGTTCTGTTAAATTATATGATCTGATTGGATGCACCTTTCTCCTACTGTTCACCAGTTTTTGTAACTCTTTTGTTTGGATCAGGTCCGATTAGAGGTATGCCTTAAAAGCATAGCATAGTTTAGTGCCTTTGTCATCATGAAGGTTAGTTTGCCCGTTTATTATAGTTACATAGTGCATCCAGACAGATGGTGAGATAAAGAAAGAAGAAAAAGGCAAACATGACATGTTAGCTGTTTTTTTTTGGTATTGTTTTCTGGTTTGGAAAGATATCTGTAATGAAAGGTTGCAGCATGTTTCATTTTCCTGCTTGACATTTCTTTTGTTTTCCAGGCATCAACAAGAAGCAGAATTGAAACTCATTGAAGAAGAGACTGCTAGGAGAGTGGAAGAAGCGATTCAAAAAAAAGTTGAAGAGAGCTTGAACTCTGAGGGAATCAAGCAGGAAATTCAGAAGCGGTTAGAGGAGGGACGGAGAAGACTTAATGATGAAGTTGCAGCTCAACTTGAAAAAGAGAAGGAAGAAGCCCTTTTCGAGGCTAGGCAAAAAGAGGTAAATATCTTAGACAAAATCATGTGATTTCTTGTCTATTGATGTTAGTTTCAGTTCAACTAGATATGATAATGTGTTTATTGATTTTTTCCCTCTTGCTGGCTTATAGTTGTGACTGTTTCCTGCCATTTCATGATCAATCTCGAATGATTTTGTTAACAGGAGCAAGTTCGAAAAGAGAAAGAGGAGTTAGAAAAGATGCTTGAAGAGAATCGGAAAAGGGTGGAAGAAGCTCAGAGAAGGGAAGCACTGGAACAGCAGCGGAGGGAGGAGGAAAGATACCGGGAGTTAGAGGAGCTTCAAAGACAAAAGGAAGAGGCAATGAAGAGGAAGAAGCAGCAGGAGGAGGAAGAACGTTTGAATCAGATGAAGTTATTGGGAAAGAACAAATTGCGACCGAAGTTGTCTTTCGCTCTAGGCTCAAAATGATTGAATTGGAGAAGAAGTTGGTTTAAGTATGTAGTATTTGTGCTGTCAGTCCAGTTTTGAACTTTAAGTCTATTGCAACTTTGTTGGGGGTTCAAACTAGTAGGTTGGGGATTGATTCGTGATCCTGCTAGTACCGCTCGAGGTGAAACGTATCAATTTTTGAACCACAAAAGATTTACCATTGTGTTTTTAATTTGGGTTGTTGATTTGTGATTTTAATTAGGGTGATTATGTTCATCAAACCTTGGTAGCAGCATTGTATTTTGGTAGCAGCTCACTGCTTTCTTGGATGAATAGACAACAAATGTGTAAAAGAATTGTGTAAAAAAAGTAGAATAGGACTGAAGAAGCAATGGTAAGAAGAGATGGATATATACACAAATTGTAATCATGGTTGTTCGGGGAAGTTCTTTGGCCGCAAGAAATCGGTGAAACGTTTAGCATACTGCTCGGGTTCCACAAGATATCGATGTCGGGTTGAATTTCGCTGATTTGCATGTATTCTCGGTCTTCTTCTTCGCATTGTATCTCTGTAGAATATCGATTCTACATAGAACTACATCATTTACCTAAAAAGGTTCCAACTTTGGCAGAATCAGACTCATCTCAGGGAAAGCTTCCGAGTAGCCTGTGTCGGCATGTTTACTCCTAATTGCACCCGTAATCTGAGTAAAAATGACTAACGAATATGAAAACCTGACTTCACATGAGTTTTGAAGGTGTCTTCAACCCTATGTGCAAAAAGAATGAGAACGAAAGCAGCTCCCTTCCTGTACTGGGCATCAAAACGTCGACTTCCTTGTCGCCCTATGAGAAAGCTCCTAATGCTCTTCCTCTGATACGAGGACCTGGTTCGGTGTTAACCGAGCTCGTTCTTGGGCCAGCAGCACCAAGCCTTTTTAAGGAAACTGCACTTCTCCATTTGGGGTTACACTTAGTGATAACATAACAAAAGATGCATGCCATTAGAGAAACTGCTAATACGACGAACAAAGGAAACCGATATCAGAAAATTGTCGCGGAAAATGAAATATAGAAGCCACCCGGTGAAGCCCAAAAAACTTTGTTATGAGAGTATTTTGGTGCTCTTTGACGTGATTGTAGTATTTAGGCAGCATCTTGAGCAAAACCTGCAAAGAAAATTACTCATGTTTTAATCCTATAGACAATCGGATAAACATGCTCTGAACCTTGAGAACATAAATATAACTGAGCAGATACAATGCATGAAAAACAATACAGATTAAAACCTAGTAGTCCAAATGGAAGATTAATAGTTCAATAATTTACATGCAAGAAATCAGTAAAAAATCATTAGTTTTACAATTTTTATATAGTAAATCAGTTAAAAATAGTTGTTCAAATTCAGGGATGTAGCTAGAGTATAAGGTTGAGGGGAGCAGAATATAATTGTTTGAAAAGTAGAGAGGTAACTCATAATTAAATTGATGGTCAAATTTGATTTTTTTTAAGGTTATTGACTAAATTTAACTTAAAAAAATTAAAGATCAAATTGGCATAAAATACAAACGTTGAAGGTTGTGTGTATTATTCCCAACTTGATACAATTTAGCATTCAAGTCTTAATTACATGAATGAGAAATCTACTAAATTCAATTGTTCCATAATCTATCCAAAAGAAAAGAACCCATCATCGCCTTGATCCTGCTTTGTTCGCTTTACCGAGCGGGGGGAAGTAGTCGTTTCCGTTGAGGAAGGAGTCGTTCATTGTTTTTGTGGTTTCTCGATCCGGTTTATCCTTGATTACTTGGACATTTCGGTGCTGGTTTTGTTGAACAATTGCCTTGACAAAGGAGGAGTTTATAATCGGCTTTTGATGATGGCCTTGCGGAGCCGAATTCGCCGTAGGAGAAACGACCAATGGTTTGATTCTCAATAACTCTGGATCGGGTGAAAATTGGTACGGAAGTTTGCTATCGTCCATTCTCCGGAATGTAATGGATATCCTGCACAGGCATCAGCACATTGAAATGGTTGAGTATACGAATATTCGAGATGAATAAATTTTCTGTTGAACCGGGAAAAGATTTAGTTCCGTTACCGTTTTCCTGGAACAGCTGGGACACAATGCTTTGCAATGTCGGCTCCGTTACCGTTTAGAATAAGCACAGATCTGCACACCGAGTATTAGGTTAGAACATGGAAGAAAATAATCAAATTGGTCAGAACTAAGCAGAGCTTAGGAGGACATACCCTACAGGCAAAGGTATAGATACAGGTCCCGAGAACTCTCCCGGACTCGCAATCTTCAAACTCGAACCGAAAAGAATATTGCATTGAGTCAAGAAAGACACGGTGCAAAAGGGCCTAAGAAAGTCGTGATGATCGATATGTGGAGGAATGCAATCCCCTTCGTCATAAATGTTTACGATGCAACTGTTGGGAATACACGTTGGAGGCAAAATATGCCATCGGACCATCCTCTTGATCATCTGCTTGAACAACTGGGGCAAGGGATCGACTTCTTCGTCCCGAATGATTCCCGGCGGGTTCCCATTTTTATCCTGTTTTAAAGGTTCAAATATGAATATGAAGTTCGGGACTAAAACGTGCAAAGCAGGGTTAAGGGGGAAGAACTAATTGTTGGAATTACCACTGCATAATTGTAACAACATCCAAATTGTATCGTAACACGACCTTTTCCACGCATCCACTTCCTCGGTTCTGTGTATGTACGTTCTGCAAACATCATTCATACGAAAAAGGCCGATATCATTACTACTACAACCAATCTGTATACCATGCCTCGACATTCGATTTTAGCTCAAAGAACATACAGGCAAGCCGAATCATTCAAGTTCTAAAGCTTATTATCAAGGTAAGCAAGGTTAAGTTTGCTGGAAATTTACCTCTAAGTTGCCCCTTTTGGCCCATACGTTGAAGATTATAAACACATTCCACAATTCTGCTCTGCTCCTTGGCATTGAAGACCTTCGTATGAAGCTCGAGGCCTTTAAGCACATTCGTCGGTCTCCCATCAACCCTCTCGGTGTGAACGAAATCCCTTTTTCTACCAACTTGGGAAAACCTGATACGCTCCTTTTGTTCCTCGGACAATCCATTGTCAACCACAGTTCCACCAAGTACATCGTTAAGCAATACATCGAAATTGGCCGCCTGAGGCAGGGCACAATCGATCGCCGAATCCGGTACCGGAGTAGCATTCGAGGCCACATTGGCTTCTCCATTTGGCAAAGATGTCTCACTACCTCTTCCTGGAAAGCAAATAAATAGAGATAACATCATATCAGAATCAATTTCTCTCCAATTTTTCCTAATAACAGGCATGATAGATACCATGCAATCAAAGTAATGATATGAACATCAGGTATTTTATTTTCGAGATAATATAATACCTTTGTTTTCTAGATAATATGATACCTTTGTTGGCGCAATAAAAAAAAACCTCAAAACGGATTAAATAGTCGCACGCGAATTAAAACCCTGAAAATTTATGAATCGATGAACCCTAAAAAAAGAAAGCAGTAAGATTCTTACTATCCAAGATCTGATGAATTCGTTTCTCATGAACAGCTTCGCAGTGTTGGCAAAACCCTTGAGACAAAGCTTCGAAAACCTCGTCGCGGTTCATTGTTTTCAACAACCCAAGGACTCCCTCGCCGTGTCCAGCGTTGGAAGCAGGAAACTTTCCGGGGATATCGCCGCCGCTTTATTCCAGGTGAAAAATAGCAAACACAGACAAAAGACAGGAAGAAGAACAGAAAAGGAGTAAGATTTAGGGACAAGAGTTGTGAAAGAATTTTAGTTTCAAATCAGGTAAAGAAAACCTGTGAGAGATCCTGGGATATATAAACAGGTGGAACCGTGGGAACTCATAGTCGGTTTAAAAAGCTGCTCCGTTTTACGCTCTTTACTGACGTTTGTGTTTTTACTATATTACTACTTACGTATTTTTAACGTGTTACCAAAAGGTTAAATTTTGTTCTTAATCCTTGTGTTCTTTGTAAAATTAGTTTTTTTCTTAAACTTCTCCAATGAGATTCTTACCTTGTAGAACTAATGGCTTTTTTCCCTTTGAACTTAAAAATAAATATGACAATCTTTAAGTTTTTATTAAATTAAGAGTTAACATCATACATCCTCATTCTATGACTTCATTTCAAATTGATCCTTAAACTTTTAAACATTTCAATTTCATCCTTAAACTATGACTATCACTCTAAATTAATTATCAAACTTTTGAACATTTTACTTTTATCCCCAAACTATGATCTTCATTTTAAACGGTCCCCAAACTTTTTGAATATTTCAATTTTATCCTAAATTATGTGTATATACTAATCACATCTCTTGTTAATAAAATTATTAGGCCAAGTTATATTATGTTTTAAATATATAAATTTATGTTAAACTATGGTTGAAATGGATAACATATTTGGATGAATTTGGGAATGAATATGAAAGATCTAAAATTTTAGGGACCAATTTATAATGAGATTCATAGTTTCAGGATGAAAATGGAATGTTAAAAATTTAAGGACTAATTTAGAATGATATTCATAGTTTAAGGATGAAATTAAAATATTTAAAAGTTTAGAGACCAATTTAAAATGAGAGTCATAATTAGGAGACATGATGCAATTAACTCTTAAATTAAACCAATTGATAAAAATGCATGAATAAAATCAACATATTTGATTTAAGTGATAAGCAGTTTGATATCGCTTAAGCAATGTCTCATATTCGAGTCCTTATGTATATAGAATACACCTTCTGAACCCATCAAAACTAGGTGTGTGAGATTCGGATCAGCCAGGGTGAAAGCCGTGAGAAAAGAAGGGTAAGAAAAAAATGCATGAGTTAAACGACCTTAGTGATAAAAAAAAATTGTTGTTTATTCTTTGAGCTCTCAGGCTTGAGCGCCATGAATGCCTAGAATGTGAACATTAATATTAAATGATTAAGAATTATCTTTAAACATTACGTACTTTGTCATTACCCCAAATTAAAAAAAAACAATCGATAAAAGTAATATACATGTTAAATTGCATTGCTTGTTACATAAAAAAAACGTAAAAAATAATATTTAAAAATTAGAAAAAATGTCTAAATAATTAATGAAGTGAAATTTTAAAAAATATGCAAAATTAAAAAGTTGACAAAGTCAAAATAACTAATGATTGGTTCAATTTAATAAAAAATACAAAATAATTAACGACTAAAAGAAACAAAGTTTAATGATTAATTAGATAACTTATCTCAAAATTAAATGTTATACGAAGATTTTTTAAAATATATATTTTGGCAGAGTTCCATTAAATAACTTATCCCAAAATCAATATATGTATTGCTTCTTCATTGTTTTTGTTTACACTGCTCTCTCAGAAAATGAGAAATAGAGAGCCACCTACAAATGCTGGTTTTGGATTTTATATTAACCCCCGAAAAAACAAAATTTACATTTTGCTTTCTTGTTTTGCATGCATGCGACGAGGCTCATTCCGTTGATTTGGAGCCAATTTTGTTGTTGAATGTTTGCTTGAAATTGACAACACTGTCCCTGGCTTCATGTAGCCTTCTGGAATTTAGAAACAAGGCACAACTGGCATGTGGAGGAGCGTAGAAGCTAAACTGCACAACTTCCATGTCAGACGTGGAACTCATGTGAAAGTTGGAGAACTTGGGTGGACGGTAGGTTCCCCGGTTATTCTTGTCACACCCCAATTTAGGGACAAAATTTTATTCCTTTAAGTAAATTTAAAGGACTAAATTATAATTTTTAGAAACATACAGTTCATGTTGAAACTCTGGGAAGTTCATGGCCTTAACCCCAAAATTTTTCAGTTTGTGTTAACAGAGAAAAATAAATCCCCCGGAAGCAAAATTCCCCAAATTAATTCCCAATACCCTAACCCTAGTCGCCGTTTGTCCACCGCATTTCACTCCGATTCGGCTGCCATTGTCATGCCTTGACCCTACCATCATGACCGACAACCTCCCGCGACCATAACCCCTCGTTTTCCTTATTGAGACCGGCCGCAATCGTCTTGGAAGAGTCAAAAAAGCACCGTCGAGAAACCTCCCTCGTCGCTTTGGTTTTTGCTCGATTCCGGCCGATCTGGCGACTGTCTCGTCTCACTACCGTCACCAATGTGTTCCCCGGCCTGTTCCGCTGAAAACCTAACCGGTGGGTTGTATCAATGCTACCTATTTCCCTCTATCGCCGGCGTGGGTAAGTCCCAGATGTTTCCGGTTATTTTGGCTTTGTTTGGTTGATGTTTTTGGTTTGATTTTGGTGTGAAATGGTGTGTAACTGCTAGTGGAATAATCGGCAGACCACTCCGGGCCCGTCTCCGCTGCCACTCGCTTTCGCGTGCGCGTGGGCTTCCTCCACTACCCTGGAAACCTTTTAGAACCGGTCAGTCGGTCTGGACGGCACGAATCGGTCAACTCGGTCTGAATCGAGTCTGTTTGACCCAACTGAGTCAACTCGTCCGAGTCAGCCCATTGAATTTGATCGTTGACTTTGACCGTTGACTACGGACTTTGACTGTGACCAAAAAATTCAAATTTTCTGAAAAGTCATATTTTATGTTTTTTGATGTCCTGAGTCCGATTCTGAAGTTCGTTTTGCCAAATTCGCACTTGGTAAGCCGTTTTCAGTGTTTTACCTTCGGATTCAATTTGATTTCTCAATTAAGTTCAATTTCTAATGTAAATTTAGTTGCTATGTATCCGATGAATTATTGGACGTTGAATTCAAGTTCAAGAGTGATCGAATGGAGTTTAAACGATCGATCAATAGATAACGAAAATCAAGGTACTATTTTACTATCTTTTGTATGCTTTCCGAAACTTGTTGATAATTGGTAACTGCATCGATAAAATGATTGATCCTTTGGGTAAAATTAATTATTTTTATACTCGAACATAATTTTGGTAAAAAGACAATAAACTGTATAAGACTCAGATGGCTCTCATAAGAAACTGGAAGATCAATCGTAAATAATTATAAGTTCAGTGATTTATTAATAAATTAATTGACTTCAAGATCCATAAATTTTGATTAATTTCTTTAAAGGTTAAATACCGGGAATATTTGGATAAGAAATTACCAAAAATAGCCCTATGGGGTAAAATTATAAAAATGCCCTTATACTATAAAAGACCAATACTTCCCCTGATGGTGAAAAATAACCCAGAAAGGACATAGTTGACCAATTATCAGAAAAAGTGCATATTGTTTGGATTGAAATGAATTACCAAAATGTCATTGAGCTACGAAATAACTAAAATAACCTCAAATGTTTCAATGACCAAAATACTCTGAACTCTAAAGGAACTAGAATACTTTAAAGCCTAATTTATCGAAAGTAATGTCACTGACAGAATTAAATAGAATAACAATAATAAGCTTAAAATGTAAAAAGGACTATGGATGGTTATGATAATGGAGATGACCTGAGAACTCAAATTTTGATTCGTTTGAACCTTGGAATCGCTGATTAAATTCCTGATCTATTTGAAACAAGCTTTTCCTTAAGAACATCAAAATCATCTTTACATTCATCTTGAAAATCGAAGGTTCTATCTTTCTGTAAGAAATTGCAAAGTGGTTGTGCCACTTTGGAAAAATTCTTGATGAACCTGCGGTAAAATCCTTCATGACCAAGAAAAAAACGAACTTCACTCACAGTTCTGGGGTATAACAGTGAGCAAATTATATCAGTTTGGCCTTATCGACCTATATTACATCAGAAGAATGTGACCCATAATTAATCATTTATCGACCATGAAGTTATATTTTCATAATTATGAACAAGGTTAAACTCAAGGTGTCACTTCAAAATTTTAGTTAAATTAGATAAGCACTCACTAAAAGAGCACCGTAAGCCGTGAAATCGTCCGTGAACAGTTCAATACCCTTCTTAATAAAGTTAAAGAAAATACTTCAGTGCATTACATAGTTCAAATGGTATACATTGATAAGAGAAAGTCATTGTTTTCTCATGGCCTTCTAATGCCATTGTGATATGAAAGAATCCTGAAAAACCATCAAGACAACAGTAATGAGATTTACCATCTAATCACTCAATCATTTGATCAATAAAAGGAAGCAAAAAATGGTCTTTTTGTGTTAAGGAGTTCAACTTCCTATAATCTATGCAAACCCATCATCCATTTTGAACTCATGTAGAAACAAGTTCACCTTAAAATTTTCAAAAATTGTAACTCCAGTTTTCTTAGGAACCACATGGACTGGACTTACCCAACTGTTGTTGGATATCGATCGGATAGATCATGTCGGCTTCTAAAAGTTTTTGAATTTATTTTTTTACCACATCCATCATTGGAGGATTTAGGTGCCTTTGGCCTTCTCGGGAAGGCTTTATAGTGTCGTCGACTTTTATCTTGTGCATCCTCATCGATGGGCTAAATCCTTTGATGTAAGTGATAGTCCATTCGATTTCTTCTTTATAAGTAAGGACACTCACCAAATTATCCTCTTCTTCCTTAGATAACTGTCAATGGTAAGGTAGAATTTTCACCCAAATATGCATACTTCAAGTGATCTGGCAATTGTTTTAGCTTTATTTTTTGTGCCTGCAAAATGGAAGGTAACATTTTAGTTTTAAGAAAACAAGACGCAAATCAAAATAGAAACATGAAATATTTTCCAACTCCCTTATTTTGTCGTCAACATCCTCCAATTTCATGCACAAATCATCATAAAAGTTTGTTTCCATAAATTCATCGATGATAAATTCAAAAATATTAACAGAACTAATATTACCCATTGAGTTGGGATACTTCATCGCTTTAGAAACATCAAGTT